GCATTTTCTTGGGCTGTGTTTCAGTCAAGTTCCATTCTGTCCTTTGAGGCAATTCACATGAGTCAGAGGGAACGAGTGGGCCTTGTTCTCCTCAGGTGCAGGCAAAAGAAGCACGATTCTGCCACTAATCCTCCTGAAGGCTTCAGGACCACAAAAATCCAGGTCTGGGCACAAAAATCTCCATTTTTATAATGTTTACCTTCTGTACATGCTAAGTTACAAAACTGACATATGTTTTCCACATAGGAAACTGAGTAATTTCACCCAAGCGCAGCCACTAAAACAGAGGGACATAAAATACATCTGAAAAGTGATATCCATAAGCACACGCAAATGAGAGAGTCAAGGTACTGCGTTTTATTTTTAGTTTGCTTAACATTTATTTGAGAAAGTGAAGAAACTCCAAGATTGCCGAGATGTTTTCGTAGGAATTTCCCCAAGTAATTTTGTGTTTCTCATCTCATTCAAAGCCAACAGAGCAGAGAACACACTTTGTATGGTTAAATCCAGGGCCAAAGATCAGCATCGCATCGCAGATGCTTTTGAAGGACTATTTCTTTGCTATTCAGACTTGGTCCACAGAACTACAGCACCAAAGCATTCATGAAGCTTTTCTGAGACGCCTTAGGCCCTACACTATACTGCGACCAAATTTGCATTTATTTTTACAAGATACCCAGGTGATCTGAATCCACAGTAACATCCACGAGCTCACACATGAGATGTGCATGAGCCAGAGCTGGCATTGCATGTCTGGCAAGAATAGTGTCTGAAAAACACCAGGTTCACTCACCAGGCCACAGGTGTCACCGATTCTGGAATCCGGCAAGTTTTGTTTTCAAGATTGATAATCGCTGGGTGCAAGAGAAGCTGGGTATCCACGGTCACAACTGGCCTTGCTCTGCAGGGGAAGAAAACACAAGGTCTGTATGGCCCCTCGGGGCTACAGGCAGAAGCTCCCTTCACAGAAGAGGTCCCTGCAATGTTGCCAGCCTGGACCCAGAATCTGGCTTACTTCATGGACAGGTGGCCATCACTCTACTAATTACCTCTAAACACTTCCAGTAGCACATGAATCTAATGGAAGGATACCTGGGTGCCCTCACACAGCTCCATCCACAAACCTGCTGTCTTCAGGAAGCAAACCTGTGATATTTTAACACTCTTACAGTGACACAGTGCTTTGCAATTTGCTAAAGTTACATCATCTTACATCCACTCATGGTAAATACTTAATATTTACAAGTTTTCTTGGCTCCTTGATAATGTTCTACTTTGAATGATGACTTTGTTGCTCTGTTCTGCCCGTGCAGCTGAACACAAGGGTGGATTTACAGAATAATTCCGTACTTCACCCCCAGCAATACACTGACTGCACAATGTAACCACCCAAGGAGCTTTTAAACAAGCACTGTGCTTAGGCAACTGAACTAGAAATTCTGGGGTTCGGGGCTGGTTATTGCGAACACTCTTTCCAGGTGACGTTAGCAGGTAACCATGTTGGAGGAGAGGAGCCAGTGTAGAGTAAAAGCCATTCTAGCCACCCAGGCAAAGCTAATAAGACAAATCACAGGGGAAGGGAGTGAAGCCATTTTCAAAGCTTGATTAAAAGATATGCTTACTGGGAGGTAGAGCTGCTGGACTTCTGCGTGCAATGAGCCATGCTGGATGAATTTCCTTTCTCCAATGGACAGAGAGCTTGTGTCTTGGGGCAGAATGTTTAGAGCACTACTTCAAAGGACTTCATGGCTAGCACATGGAGCCCCTTGGGATTTTTTCCCCTAAAGTCCTCTATTCTATTTATCTGTACCTTATTTTACATTATTCTTAATATTGTGCTCTGATGCTTGAAAAATCAAACGGTAAAGTAGAATTAGGCACACACAGGGTTTATTATGGCAAACCCCTACCAGAAGAAAGAGAAGTGAATGGAAGGAAAAGGAGGTTCTGGTTCCAGGGAGGGTAATGGACAGAAGATAGGGTTGGATAGGACATTCTGTTGTGGTTGCTCAACCCATGTATGAGGCGTCCACGAACCAGCACTGCCTGTGACAGGAATTGCTTATCCTCCATGAATAGCCTTGCTTTTACTCCTTCTTGTCCTCCTACTTGAGTGGGAGCGGCTCATGGAACATAGAGCATCGGTCCCAAGAACTTGGGGTGGAGGGTGACTGGTACAAATCTGCCCACACAGAGCTTGTTTTGGGACTGAGGAAGAAGGAAAACTCACCTATTTTGAAAACTGAACCTTAGGCGCTGAGAGCTGAATGGATTAGCATCACCTGCCACGTCCACTTATTTGTCTTTTATTAGTTACCCTGATTTAGCTGCTTGAATTCTTGCTAGACACCTTTTAAAGAAGGTCTAAAATTTCTGAGCATCAACTATCTAACCAGTTACCCATCCATGTATTTTACATGCAGATTTTTCACTGAATCCTTTCAATAAAAGTAACCTTCTCAAGGAAGAATTGTTATCCCCATTTTACAACTGAAAATGCTAAGGCTTACAGAGTTAGAGAAATCTGTCTCAGATTACAAATCAGTGAGTGTACAGAACGGCCAAGCTTTGAAGCTATCATTTGGCATCTGAATCACTGCTCATCTCTTGGTTTGGATGAAACCAGCTCTTGGTCTGTCCTGTTCCTTCACTTAGCTTCCAAACTCGATGGCAGAAACCAGGGAAAATGGGGACAATATCCCATTCTGCACCCTTCTCTGCAGGCACACATTTTATTGATTTTGAAAGCACAGAGAATTAAATCATCTACCATTTAAAAAGAGAGCCATTTTAAGGTCGACTGAGTTTACTATCTAATTTAACATTACATTGTTAGGGGCTGGGAATCTGATCATAAAGTGTGAGGACAAAATATACAAGGTTCAAAACTGAGGGCTAATAGACCTCCAGACTTTAAAATAAGAATATAAGTATTCTTCAGAAGAAATAACTGGAATAGAGCATTTTAAGGCCAAACTAACAATAAAATGGAAAGACTCTAAAAACAATTCAAAGAACATCTGCACACCACCAATCACATACCTGTAAACAGCCACTTTTCCGGTTCCAAATGCACCCACAAGTAAATCTAATAAAGACAAAAACATGAAATGCATGAATAGATTTTATAGACACGATCTACAGGTTGAGCATCATTAACCCAAAATCCAAATGCTCTGAAACCTGAATCATTCTGGGCACTGATGTGACACCACAAGTTGAAACTTTCACATGGTGAAGCTTTGCTTCCGTTGCAAAGTTATTACAAATATTGCTTAAAATTCTCTTCTGGCTCTGTGTGTAAGGTGTGTATATAAAACACAAATGAATTTTATGTTTAGACTTATGTCTCATCCCCAGATATTTCCTTAAGTGTATATAAATATTTCAAAAGTCTGAAAACACCCAAATGCTAAACACTTCTGGTCTCAGTCATTTTTTTTTTTCCTGGTACCAGGGATCAAACTCAGGACCTTGCACTTGCCAGGCAGTCATGGCACTGCTGAGCTACATCCCCAGCCCTCAATAGTTTTTTATAAGGAATACCCAACGTGTACTCGGTTCATGATCATGAGTAGCACATAAAGCATCCTGAAGTGCCAACTGCAGTGTGAGAGCCATAAAATGAGCAAACAGCACCTTTCTTAGGATATTTTGGATACGATGTAAGAGTATAGCTGATTTAACATGGCACATGAATCAGATCTCAAAACTTTCAGCATTTAGGAAGGCCAGCTTCCTAGAAATGCTTAAAAAGCGCATCATAAAATCGTTTTCCTCATCCTCTAGACTCAAGGTACACACCCAAGGAAAGGAAAAAGAAAAATGCAGCACATATAATGCAGAAGGCTCCTTGAGAATCTTGTCTCATTTCTCCCTTCCCAACAATGACTATATAAGGTGAGATTATTACACCTAAGAGGAAAGTTCTGATTGTCATCTTGAAACAACCACTTGCTCTTTACATTGTGGATGGTGAGTATACTCGAGTGATACTGTTCACAATTATCTCCCCGACTCACTAACATCTAAGTGAAATTATCTGCTTTTCTTAATCTAATCTACAATGTTTTTTTTTTCTTGGTGGACTCAATCAAACAAACAGAAATGACAATGACTAAATTGCACAATAAAATCTAAGTGTAAGAGAATCAGACGAGGTAGGACAAGGGCCAGAGAAGAAAACAACTGAAATTATAATTGCTTAATTCTAGCAAATCTGAAGTGAAAAATGTAAACAAAATTGTAAAACAAAACAAAACAAACATCTCACCAATGACAAAAAGGGGAAAAGAAGTTTTAGCCTGCTGCTCCATATGTAAGCTGATAACGGAATTAAATTGACATGATGGAGTTTGCAATGAAAAATGATTTACAGGGTGTGATAAAAAATATGACAGCTGAGTTCCATCCAATGGAAAAGCAGGCTCGCAAAGACACTGCAGTGTATCCTCCTTCACCTTATTCACCCAGTCTGGCATGTGGTGACTTCTAGCTCTTTGCCAAAATCAAAATGAGAGGTAATCATTTTGAATCACTTCAGGACATTAAGGCAATCAATTCATTAAGACAGGTGTTGTAAACTGCAGAAACAACATGGGATTTTACCCCAAGTGACTTCTTCACTGCAGGATAGACTTGGAGAAGAAAGCCAGGGTGTCATCTGCCATGTAAGCCAAGAGACTTTAATCAGGCACTATTTTGGAAAGGGGTTGATTTGTGATACTAAGCCGCAGAAAAACTACAATGCAACTTCTCTCCAGGGTGGTTTGTGTTACCCTACTACAGTGACTGGGTAAGGACAGCTATGGAAGACAGCCATAAGAGGTTGAGGACTAGAGATAGATCCCCTGAGAAGTTCCAGCTCAGGCAGGAAAGGATACAAGGCCCCGCACATCATGTTGAGAGGCCAGGTCTAGTGGTTCTGGCTTTCACAGTTGGCTGGATCTGAAGGTGATACCAATGAGTCCAGCAGTCTCCTTAAGCCCCTACCCTGCTGCCTACATCCAGTGGAGACAAGTAGTCTGATTGTTTTCCTTCTCACCAATATGAACAGGGATACATGTCAGCTAGGAAGATTGCCACAGTCTGAGGTTTATGGACAGAGGGGCCTCTGGAGCAGGGAAGGTATCTCACAAACCCACTGGCCATGAAGCCTGGAAGACTATGACTTAATGACTTCTAAAGGAAGGAAAACACTCAGCTGGGAATACAAAGGAATTTTTGGATCCATTTTTTCTCCTTTATCTATATATAGTTAACTATATGCTACCACTATTGAAGAATCTTCTATTGTAATGGAAGTAAAGTTGTTCCATTTAGTAGATGTTTACTCTATGTCAATATTTAGTGTGTCTTAGTGTTTCAACTATAATCATAGATCTCTTTTCTATGGTTAAGGGTGGTACATTATTGGTTCTTAAATTATGTCAGCATCCAATTTGTCTTTGATACTATTATTGTTGCTGATCTTACTACTATAGCCAAAATGACACAATTGTTGCTATCAGTAGGTTTTCTCTATATGCCAATATCTGGATTGTCTTGGTGTTATTAATATACTGTAAACCATTCCAGGAGAAATGGGTACTGAACCAAATATACTGAAACCTCCCCTCCCGAATGAAAGGAGATGGAAGGTGGGGATGGATTCTGGGACAAAGGTAAGTGGCTATAGTTAACTGTGTCAAGAGTGCACCATTACAAAGAAGACATTACCTAAAGAGGTCTTCATACTAGCAAAAAGACTTCCACTATAATCAACATACAAGCCTCAGTACAGAAAACAAACGAACAAATAGAATCATGAGAAAATAAGATGACAAAATGCCTCCCAAAACTCCCACGTCCCCCAAACTGATCTAAGGGTCATTGATGGGGAAGAAATCAAAAGCCACATAGCCAAATTCTTTGAAAGGATAACAGAGGAGATTGAAAAAAAAAACAGATCAATAAGATGCTTGGTGAGTTCAAAGAAGATATAATTAAAGAGATAATGATCCTAGTTAAATGATCAGCAAGCCAAAAGAAGACACTAATTAACAGCTAGCTGAGCTAAACAAACAAATGCAGAACAGGAATTTCCAGCACAGAAAAAAAATTAGAGTCCATGAAAACATCAAACAGACATTCAGGAGATTAAAAATGCTACTGAAAGTATAAGCAGCAGAAGTGACCACTGTGAGGACAGTGTCAGAACTACCTATAAGACAGGGCTGTTGTCAATGACCAGTTATTGAAAGGTGCATTACAAACAATAAGACACTGTAAAAAATGGATCTAACAGCTGTTAGATTACACGAAGAAGACGACTCTAAGATTAATTGGAACTAGTAAAAATCAGAAGACAGCACAAATGACATAAAATTCCTGTTTACAGAAGTGATATCAGAAAACCTTACTATTATGGGAAGTTAATTTAGCAGAGATAATTATGAACCCCATAAAAACCCCAAATTGCCATGATCAGAAAATAACCTCTCCATGACATATCATAATCAAAATTCCAGAAGTCCGACTCAAGAACAGAATCTTAAAAGTTGTTAGACAAAAGCAAAAATCAATTTTAAAGGAAAATCCATCAAAATTGCAGCAGACTTCTCAACACAAATCTTAAAGGCAAAAAGAACCTGAAGTGAAGTGTTTCAAGCCCCAAAAGGAAAAAAACAAAAAACAAACAAACAAAAAACTTCCAACCCAGAATAATGTATACTGCAAAACTATCTTTCCAAATTGATGGAGAAATATAATATTTCCACAACAAAGAGCACTTAAAGAAATCCATGATCAGCAAACTAGCACTCCAAAAACTTATTACAGATATCCTAAAAAGAGATAGTGAAGCTAACAATGCCAGAAGGTCCAAAAGAATGACAGCATCAGGAAAGGTGAGCAATTAAGTGGAAGAGAAAGAAGGGGAATCAGCAACGGGAAAGTAATGCAATGAATGGCAGGAGTAGGTCACTATCTTTCAGTAGTAACTCTAAGTGCGAAAGGTCTCAAGTAGACAATTGAAGGCAGACTGGCAGATTGGGTCAAGAAACAAAATCTGATGGTACGGTGCATTAAAGAAATGGATTTAACCCCAAAAGAAATTCATATGTTAAAAAAAAATCAAAGGATTGGAATAATATTCCATGCAATAATAACCTGAAAAGAAGCAAGAGCAGCTGTCCAATTTGCAGACCAAGTGGACTTCAAGCCAAACCTGACCAGAAGAGGCAACAAATGGCAAAATGTATTGGTTAAGGAACAACTCAATGGGAAGAAATAATAATTATAAACATACATACACTGGACAATGACACACACTCAAATCATAAAACAAGTATTCATCACATAAAAAATGGGCAAACTTTAATGTAATTATAGTGGGGGATCTCAGTACCCCACTACCACCAGTAGATCAACTAAACAAAAATTCAACAAAGAATTATCAGAGTTAAGCCAAGGCTTCACACTAATGAACTTAAATAGATACCTAGAGTATCCCACCCAACAACAATATAATACACATTCCTCTCAGCAGAGCATGGCACTTTCTCCAAAATAGACGACATACTAGCCAGTAAAACATGTTTAAGTAAATCCAAAAGAATTCAAATCATAACATCCATATTATCAGATGAAACTAGAATTCAACAGCAAAAGAAACTATGCAAATGCATGGAAATCACACAATACACTCTGGAATAATGAATGTGTCTGGAAGAAATAATACAACTCCTTGAATTAAACAACAAAGCCAGTACAACATAACAGAACTTATGGGACATAATGAAGCCAGCCCTAAGAGGGAAGTTCATAGCTACATATGCCCACATCACAAACAAAAAAGTGAGCCCAAATAAATATCCTAATGATGCATTTCTAGGTCCTAGAAAAACAAGAACAATTCAAGTCTAAAGCTAGTATAAGGAAGAAAATTATAAAGATTAGAGCAGAAATCAGTTAAATCAATGGAGATAAAATATACGAAAAGTCAGCAGGTGGAAGAGCTGGTTTGTCAAAAGAATAAACAAAACAGACAAATCTTTAGTGAATCTTGAGAAAATGAAAGAAAAGACACAAATCAATGTAATTAGAAAT